TCTGCTCTAAGCTTTATTATATCCTTCCTTCTGCTAACTTTGTGGTCGGTTTGTTCTTTTAATTCTTTGATATGTAAAGTTAGGTTCTTTATTTGAGATCTTTTTTTTTTTCATTTTTAATGTAGGCATGTATCACTATAAGCTTTTTTTTTTATTCTATACCCTCCATTTTGGTATACTGTATTTTCATGCGTCTTTGTCTCAAGATTTTTTTTTTTCTATTTTCTATTTGAATTTCTTCTTTGACTCATTAGTCATTGACAAGTATGCAGTTAAATTTACATTTGTTTTTAAATTGATTTTATTTTTTAAAATACATGACAATGGAATGCATTGCAATTCTTATTACACATATAGAGCACAAATTTTCGTATCTGTGTATATAAAGTATGTTCACACCAATTCTTTATACACGTACTTTGGATAATGATGTCCATCACATTCCACCATCATTGCTAATCCTCTGCCCCCTCCCTTCTCCTCCCACCCTTCTACCCTATCTAGAGTTCATCTAATCCTCCCATGCTTCCCCTCCCTACCCCACTATGAGTCAGACTCCTTATATCAGAGAAAACATTTGGCATTTGTTTTTTGGGGACTGGCTAACTTCACTTAGCATTATCTTCTCCAACTGCATCCATTTACCTGCAAATGCCATGATTTTATTCTCTTTTATTCCTGAGTAATATTCCATTGTGTATATATGCCACATTTTTAATCCATTCATCTACTGAACGGCATTTAGGTTGGTTACACAGTTTAGCTATTGCGAACTGTACTGCTATAAACATTGATGTGGCTGTGTCCCTGTAGTATGCTGTTTTTAAGTCCTTGGGTATAGACTGAGGAGAGGAATAGCTGGGTCAAATGGTGGTTCCATTCCCAGTTTTCCAAGAAATCTCCATACTGCTTTCCATATTAGCTGCACCAATTTGCAGTCCCGCCAGCAGTGTATGAATGTACTTTTTTCCCACACATCACTGTTTTCTCTGATATAAGGAGTCTGACTCATAGTGGGGTAGGGAGGAGGAGCATGGGAGGAATATATGAACTCTAGATAGGGCAGAGGAGTGGGAGGAGAAGGGAGGGGGCGGGGGTTAACAATGATGGTGGAATATGATGGACATCATTATCCAAAGTACATGTATGAAGACACGAATTGGTGTGAACATACTTTATATACACAGATATGAAAATTTGTGCTCCACCCCCTCGCCAACACTTATTGTTGTTTGTCTTCATAATAGATGCCATTCTGACTTGAGTGAGATGATATCTTAGAGTAGTTTTGATTTGCATTTCTCTAATTGCTACAGATGATGAACATTTTTTTCATATATTTGTTGATTGATTGTACATCATCTTCTGAGAAGTGTCTGTTCATGTCCTTGGCCCATTTATTGATTGGGTTATTTGTTATTTTTGGTGCTTAGCTTTTTGAGTTCTTTATATACCCTAGTGCGCTATCTGATGTATGAGGGGTAAAAAGTTGCTCCCAAGGTGTATACTCTCTATTCACCTCACAGATTGTTTCTTTTACTGAAAAGAAACTTTTTAGTTTGAGTCCATCCCATTTATTGACACAGAGACTAACCCACAAAATTACAATTATCTTATATTAGACAAAGGTGCCAAAAGCATGCATTGGAGAAAAGATAGCCTCTTCAACAAATGGTGCTGGGGAAACTGGAAATCCATATGCAACAAAATGAAATTAAACCTCTATCTCTCACCATGCACAAAACTCAACTCAAAATGGATCAGGGACCTAGGAATTAAACCAGAGACTCTGTATCTATTAGAAGAAAAAATAGGCCCTAATCTTCATCATGTGGGATTAAGCCCCAACTTCCTTAATAAGACTCTGATAGCTCAAGAATTAAAACTAAGAATCAATAAATGGGATGGACTGAAACATAAATATATTTTCTATGTGTGCCCTTCATGAGTGGCTGATCTATAAACCTATTCCCAAAGCTATCTCATCATTAATTTTCTAACGTAAATCTCTCCAAGTCCCTGATCATTCAATCTTTTATTCATTGCCAATGAGGCAAAATAGATCCAAACCCCCAACGGTGATAGATTTTATTAAAAAATTGACACTCATATGAACCACACAAAATTTTACTCATTGGTAGCATGTCTTTTTCCAGTCATTTCTTTGGATTATCTCTGAGTTGCAATATAGTTCAGCACTATTCACTTGCAACATACCGCCAAAATACATCTATAAATGAAGCCATTGTTTGTCTCTCTTTTTCTAAGTGGTCATGAGGATGATGAACTCCCCATGAGGGCATACATGATGTACATAGTATTTTATTCAGTTTCTGCTACTGTAACAGATACCTACAATAAATCAACTTATAAAGAGGGAAATTTTGTTTTGGTTCATGGTTTTGGAGGCTTTATTTTATTTTCAGCTGACCCTGTTGCTGTGAGCCTGTTTCAACACTATGTGTCATGATGGGAGCAAGTTGCAGAGGAGACACATCCACCTCATGACTGAGTATGGGAGAGAAAGAGGTACAGGAAGGGGTTAGTGTCCCAATAGCCCCTTCAAGGGCACATACTGGAAGACCTCTCACTAGGCCCCATTTCTTAAAGGTTCAATCACCTCCAAAATGCACCACTCTGGGGAACAAGCCTTTAACAATTGGCTTATAGAGGACATTCCAGATCTACACTATAGAACATAGGTTGAGAAAGAGCAGAAATAGCAGAAGTATATATCAAAGGAGTCTGGTCCAACTGCACATTTCATTTACCTGTACCTTCTTGACTTACTCAGGCCTACTTTTAAAGCCATTTTCAACTAATGCTGGAAAGTTGGTACACACAACACACTTTATTATTTAGGAGAGTAAACAGAAACAAGTTCACAATGTGTGACTCATTTGTGCAGAAAATTAATATCGCACGATCAAGTGTTAAGTCTGTGCTAGGTTTTAGTAGCAAGCCAAGAGCTATGGTTTTGCTCTAAAACTGTAGGACTGTGTAGTTTAATTCTACTACTGGGGCTTTCTAAGACTTCATGGATCCTCTGTGTCTAACACACACACACAATACAATTGGATTTCCAGGGTCATGAGACTGATGTGTGAGAGAAGCTTGCACTATATAGCCTGGACCTACTGTAGATACTGTAGATCTTTTTTCCCCTCTGATTACCACTCAAAACTAGAAATTGTGCATAGTCCAAGCACAAAAGTAATATGATATATGTTGCCTCTAAAGTCAAAAGCCTGAATTTCCATAAATTAAGTGGAAAAAGATCATCTTCAGGTATGTGCTCAACTGCTGCTCCTCCAGGGCATCTTCCCAACTTGATGGCAAGCATGCTTTCACCCTTTTGTGAAGCTATGTTCCTGTGGCATGTACAGAACCCCCCACTGGGTCTTTTTACAGCACAAATCCCACAGTTGGTTAGTTTCACTTTGCAGAGTCTATGTTCCTGGGGTTGAGAAGTCCCATCCACTACAGAACAGGAGCTCTCCTTGGTGCTGCAGATTATGTATTCTTTAATAATGTCAGCTTGGACTGTAAACTACAATAGCACTGTTCAGCTTGTGAAGCTCATGACTTCCCAATCTTTGGGAGACTGTAAACAAACCCTGACTAAACAACTTAATTTCTTTATCCAAGGTTATTTAGGTAGATAGGGGCTAAAAGGAGAAGAATTCATGATTCCTGACTTAGTCATTATTATTTCCAATTTTACTAAGTGCCTAATATTTGTCATTTAATTATGCTGGGCATTAGGAATATGAGTATGAAATAGACAGGCTATGCCCTAAGATTCAAAGAGTATAATGCCAATATTTCTCATTTTTTACCACAACCTACAGTGAGAAATAAACTGTTCATCACAACTTATCATACCCATATGCATATACATATAAAACACAAATTTCACAAAATTATATTCACCTTAACTACCTACAATGCAATTTGATATTTCCTATTTGTCTCTATTATATCCTATTTCATTAGAAAAGTTGTAGGTTTTGACCCACTGAATTTTTTTCAAGATCTATTTTGCATGGAGAAAGGAAAAGTGTGGTTTAGTGAACATGGTCCATTTAACAATCTGTGATGTGTATATTGTATAATGTGTATATTTATCCCTTCAGGCACATGATTTCATGTGAAGTTGGAGTATGGAATCTGAGAATAGTTTCCCTTCAGGAGGTGTTTCTCCAAGTTCAGTGTGCAAAAGAATCACCTTAGGATCTTGTAAAAATGAAGATTTTAACTTGGTAGGTCTGAGATAGGGCCTGAAATTACTATTCTACTTCAGATTATCTCTCAAGTGATGCTGATGAAGCTGGTGCATAAGCCATTAAGTTTACTACTAAAAATTTAACACTCAAAATGTGTTAATGGTTCTACTGAACTTCTAAAGGTGGGACCCAATGAGAAACTCCTGTAAGTGATCTCAACCTAGGAAAGAGAATCTGCAGGCAAGATATTATTAACCTATGAGAACAAAACATAGGTATTGTTTCTGACCTAGCCTGCAATATCTGAATTTAGTGAGAATATTTATATCTCACAAACAAATCAACAAAGTGTACACAAATGATCATTTGGCTAAAAAAAGAAACCAAGGATATTAATTAGGGCCAAAGTAGCACTAGGGTGATACTACAAATAACTGATGGTGGTAACTCCAAAGTCAGGAGAAGGCTTTATCCACTTCACTATAGTGGTCAAGGGTGGTGAACATTGGCTCAGCAGTGACTCCAAATAAGTTGACATCTTAAAGCCTCTATCATTAAAGGGTGCCAAGCTTAGGATAAAGGGAACAGTGTCCAGCAGACACAGCAGAACCCAGGAGAGAGCAGCATCTATATCTCTGCTGCCTGGACTTGCCTTGGGAATAAATAAGATCTCCCTAGCTCATAGATGACAAAACTGACCCTCATAGAAATGAATTTAAGTGCCAGGCAGATGTCTCCAGCTATGAATCCCAAAGGTAATGTGAATTTTACTTATTTTACATTGACATGGAATTTTAACTGTCTTCAATGATATCACAGGCTTAACCAACAGTTAATTGCTTATCATGTATTGTTTTCTGGTTTTAGTATTTTAATGTTATGATGATGGCAAACATAATCCATATCCTTTAAGAAAAAGCAGAGATCAGTGAACAACAATCAAAAAACTAGTCAAACATGGAGGAGCCATAGGATGGTAGAAGATCCAGGAGAAGGGACACCAGTGCCCACTGACTTGATAACACCTATGGAAGACCCACAGAGGGTATACCAGGAAGGAATGGGGGCACCTAACCATCAGGTAGTCAAACTCATTATATAGAATAGGCAAGACCTATTCTTGTTTACTATGTAGGAATAACCATTATCTCCTTTTTAGTGTACACACTTTCGGAGTTTTCTGTGTGTTCAAATGAATTATGTCAACATATTTACAGTTTTACAAAAGTTTGCTGATACTGTACCTGTGGTTCTGCAAACTGTTTATTATTTTACAATGTACCATGAACATCTTTTCCATGCACATGGGGTGAAAATTCTGTACCAAAAGACAGAGCACTGTAGTTAGATCAAAAAGCTGCTGGTAACAAGAGTGACACCTAAAGCAAAATATCAGCTTAAGGTTAAAGCACAGGACCTGGCAAGTATCTACCAGGGAAAGCAGGGCTGGCAATCTCATCAGAGAAGTCTGAATCCATGACCAAAGGCATTAAAGGTAGGGAATATCGTGTAAGCCCCTTTGGCCCCTACCTCCGCCCCTCACTCCCCTGACACCCCGCTGGCCCCTTGGGTTGAAGGCATCCTGAGCATCTCTTTGCATCCAGTGAAAACTACCCATTTTCTGTTGTTTTTTCCTTAGCTCTTCCTGAGCCCTTGACACATCTGCACATTCTCTCATCATCTCCTCACTGCTCAAATGCCTGTCCTGTAAGTCCTTCTGAGAGTCCTTGGGGGAATCCTCTGTGCCCCTGTCCGTTTTTCTTTTGGCTTTCCGGGGCACATAATCTTCAGCGGGGCGCTTTTCGGCGTCCCGCGGCTCGCTGGCTGGCTTTGCCTGGGATTCTGGCTTGCCCTCCCCTGGTGACTTGCTCTGACCTTCCGACTTGCCCTGCTTTTCTGCCTTGCTCCCATCTTTCGATTGTCCCTTCTCCTCTGGCTCTCCCTCATCCTCTAGCTTTCCCTCCCTTGCTGGCTTCCCCTCCTCGTCTGGCTTTTCTTCTTCATCTGATTTTCCTTCATCTTCAGGCTCTACTTCGTCTTCTGGCTTTTCCTCGTTTTCCAGTTTTCCTTCATTTTTGCGGTAGGGTTTTTCCATGTCGAGATTTCCCCTCCTTCTGTCATGGGGGTAGGGATGCAGAGAAGAGGAGACAAAAAGGAGACATGGGAGACTGAAGGTCTGGGGGTGTAACGCAGGCCCACAGAATATTGCATCTCGCCCTTAAGAGGGTTCCCCTAAGCTGGTCCGGCCCTCCGAGTGTGCCTCTGCAGGTCCCTTACCCCACACTCCTCCCCCCACAGCGAGCCAATCATTCCCTGGCAGGTCCGTCACCTTCTCCATGCCGCTTCAGCGTGGCGAGGTGCGTGCAATCCATGTGGTGGGGGCGGGTGGTGGGGCACCACAGTCTGCCTGGGGCCGTGTCCTCTGCACTCTCACCCCTTCTGGGTCCCTGTTCATGCTCCCTCCTCCCACCCCCTACTGACCTGCAGAGATCCTGGGCGGGTTGCTCCTCTTTTACAGGCCTCCCAGAGCTCTGGGAACAGATGCGCAGACCTGCAGATAGGACGCAGGGCCGGGGCGGGGCGCTCAGAAATGACCAGGACTCGGGTCCCTATCCTGAATCCAGGCCCTCCTCACTCAATCTTCTCCTCTACTACCCTCTCCCGCACCCCAGCCGCCATTTCTTTTCAGGCCTTGGGCACCAAACCAGGATGCTTTCCAAACTACGTTTGGGACTGCGTGTCCCCCTCCCCAGAGGCGACCTGCCCAACCCATCCCCGCTTTCGGCCAGGTCATTCAATTTGTTTTCGTAGGTGCAGAGTGTAAGAGGGGGTTATCCCCAGAATGCGTCTACGTTTCACTGCCGCACTGCGGGAGTGCCCCCCACCCCCGCCCCACCATGGCTTGGGCTAAAATGGATGGAGGGATGTGGGGGTCGAGAAGGCAACGGGAACTCTGAAGGTCCTCCTTTTCCGCTGTGCCACCCCAAAACGCGCCCCTCTCCTTATGGATTTCGTTTATCCCTTCCCCCGCCCTCTGTCTGCTGCTGCACCTCCACCCCTGCCCTGGGTCCTATGGCAGCTCCCGCCTTTTTACTGACCTGCGAGGACCCGGGTCAGGCCTGCGCCTCCTCGGGCTCGCAGCAGCCAAGGCAGCAGCTTCAAGAGATGGTTCTGCGTGGGCGCTGGGTCCAGGACCGCACCGCAGGTTTGGCGGGCGCGGGGGCTGGTGCCCACGTCCGCTCCAAGCCAGTCACATGAACACCGCGTCACCCTAACTGGATTCCCCCCCCCCCCGCCATGCACCCTCCCCACCTCCCCTCTACCCCCATGCAAGAGGTACTGGGGGAGTTACTGACTATGGGGAGGGGGTATGGCAAAAGGGAATTGGCTCACACAAAAGAAGGGGGTGGCTTTCTGAACCCAGGTGCTTTACCTGGAGCATCTCACAGCATACTTGCATAATTTTCTTCTCAGATGCCCTTTACAGGTATGACAGCTGATCAGAGAGGGTACCCAGCTTTGCAAAGAGCTTTCAGTTCCTGAACCCCACAATCACTTTAAAAATCATCTCTATCTGACTCCAGAGCCTAGAGGTGGTGCATGTCAGGGAACTGAGTTGTCACTCTAAATGGCAGTGTTCCCAGAGTTTCTTTCTTGGCTTCTTCTTTCCTCAATTCACATATATTCTCTGTCTGGCAGTCTCATCTGCTTCCCTCTAAACACCAGTGATTCCCCAATCTGCATGTCTAGACCATTCCCTCCCCAAATCTGTCCTACCTTGCCAACTGTCTATTGGATATCACTGCCTAAATGTCCCTTAGGGACCTCAAAGTCTTTGTACCCCAAACTGATTCCACCAACTCCTCATGCCATCTCTGCTGGCCTCTCTCTAAACTGAAAACTTACCCTCCTACATTTGACTGTTAATCATTGCTGGAGAATATCAGATAGCTAACAATGAAGGCATTAAAATATGTTTTAATATGGACTTCAGATAAAACTTCATCAAGCAATTGATTTGTAACAGACTGCTATGATTGACTCCTGCTTGCTCTTCTTCCCTTTTCTTTTCCATTTATTTATTTCGCATTTGTGAAAACACTACCCAACCCAAAGATGGCTATAATGTGTCTTTTTTCATCTCTTTACTCTCTTTGGAGTTCATTGAACTTCATGGAAACATAGATTTGTATTTTTCATTATGATTGAGTATTTTTCAGTATTTATTTATTTATTTGATAAGGTCTTGCTAAATTGCTGAACTTGCAATCCTCCTGCCTTGGCCTCCCAAATCACTAGGATTACAGGTGTGCACCATTGTGCTGGGCAATTTTTTTCCCTGTGCCTGCTTGGTGGAGTCCTACAGGTCTCTTGGGCTTGGTTCATTTTTGCACATCCTTTTTCTTTCTTTTTTCTTTGGATTACATAAATTGGCCTATCTTCAAGGTCATTGACTCTTTTTTTCTACCTGCTCAGATCTGTTGTTGTTATCCCTCTAGAGAGTTTTTCATTTCAGTCTTTGTACTATTGAGCTCCAGAAACAATTTATCTTATTATTTCTATCTTTATATTTCTGTCTCCCTGCTCATAGTCTATATTTGGTGAGACATTCTTCCCATTTCATTTTATCCTTTATCAATGATTTCCTTTGGCTTTGTTGAGCATTTTTAAGACAATTGATTAAAAATCTTTGTTTAGGGCTGGGGCTGTGGCTCAATGGCAGAGCACTTGCCTAGCATGCATGAGGCACTGGGTTCGATTCTCAGCATCACCTAAAAATAAGCAAATAAAGGCATTTACAACTACAAAATAAAAATTTTAAAAAAAATCTTTGTCTGGAGCTGGGATTGTAGCTCAGTGGTAGAGCACTTGCCTAGCATATGTGAGGTCCTGGGTTCGATACCCAGCACCACACAAAACTAAATAATAAAAAGGAATTGTGTCCATCTACAACTAAAAATATTTTTAAAAAAACTTTGTCTAAGCTAGGCACAATGGTGCACATCTATAATCCCAGAGACTCCAGAGGCTGAAGCAGGAAAATCACAAGTTTGAGACCAGCTTTAGCAACTTAGCAAGACCTTGTCTGAAATTTAAAAAAAAAAATTAAGGGGCTGGGAATGTAGCACAGTGGTAGAGCATCCCTGGGTTCAATCCCCAGTACCACAAAAAATTTTATCTAGTGGGTTCAATATATAAAACTTTCTCCTGTGTAGTTTCTAATAACTTATTCTTCCCTGTAAATTGATATACTTGTAGGATTTTTAAAATGCTTCATCAAATTTTGTTGGAATTTTTATATTTTGGTTATAATATGTTCACTCTTGCAATCAGATTCTCCCCTTCCCTAGGTTTTGTTGTTGATCTTTATTGTGAGTTATCATTTGTTGTTTATTAGCTTTTTAAATTATATCTGTAAATTCTACATTCTTTGTTATGTGCAGCCTGTGGAGTTAGTATTTTATTAGCTTATTAGTGGGCTTCTGTTTGGACAGTTATTTTAAAGGCCTAGAGCCAACAAAAGTTGGGGGGGGAGAAGGAAAGACTGTCCCAGTCTTTGCTGATAAGCTTTGAATTGGGGCGTATTGCAATGCTTTACTTTCAGTTTGTTTAGAACCTGAAGGTTAGCCCAAAGTGAATTCCTAAGTCTTCTTTGATATTTGCTGAATATGGGGGCCCACTCTTGCATTTGTGTATATGGTATTAATAATTCCCTAGTATATGTGAGAGTTTTGTTTTTAAAGCTTGTTCCTCCACATATATACTTTCCCAAACTCTCCTATATCAGGATTCTCATTATATTTATTTGCTGTCCTGAGTGTTGTCTCTTTCCCTGGACTGCTGTGGCCATTATATGAGACTTTAAACGCTTTTGGAAAAATGTCAACCAGAAAGCCAAACCAACCCTAGCCCTGGATGTGCTCCCAGTCTAGTCCTCCAGAGAGATTCCAAGATGTCCACAACCCACAATCTTATAATTCTATAAGATCCCTTACCTCTAGAATTAGTAATCTAAACCAAGAGAATGGGCTGCCATGAAAAGTTCTCTGCCAATCTGGGACATGGTAGGTAGGCAATTTAAAATTTCTGTCTACAAAGCAGTTTCTTTTTTTGCCAAGTTTCTTTCTTTGCCAAGTTTTTATCTTTTTGACTGAACTCCAGAGTTCTGAGAATGTTGATTCTTACTGTTTTGTCTAGCTCCCCAATTGCTCATTACAGAGCCCTGGAGTCCTATACTCTGACATTTTCTGTGATGTTACTTGTGTCTGTTTGCTTTTAAGTCACTTTTGGTGACTTTTGTCTCATTCTTGAAACCATCTTGTCTTATTTGTTGACATGCAATTTTTCATAGTATTATTCTATAACATTTTTTTAATCTACAGGGTTAGTACTGATTTCTCGTCTTTTTTTCATTTTAGTAGTTTCAACATTCATCTTTCTTTCTTGATCAGTGCAGCTAAAGTTTTGTCAGTTTTTAAAGATACATATTTTCAAAGATCCCAGTTTTAGTTTCCTTGATATCTTGTCCTCTATTTTATTTATTTCCACTCCAATCTTTACCATTCCTTTCCTTCTTCTTCTTTTTTTTTTTTTTGGTGAGGGGGCTACTAGGGATTGAACCCAAGTGCTTAACAACTGAGCCACATACCCAACCCATTTTTTATATTTCATTTAGAGAGAGGTCTCACCAAGTTGCTTAGGGCCTTGCTAAATTGCTGGGGCTGGCTTTGAACTTGCTATCTCCCTGCCTCAGTCTCCCAAGCCACTGGGATTACAGGTGTGTGCTACTGCACCTGGCTAGTTCCTTTTTTTAAAGTGGAAACTTAGATTGTTGATTTAAGATTTAAAGGACATGTATTCATCTAAGTAATGCTGTACTATACACATAGGTTTTGATATGTTGTGCTTCTGTTTTTCAAAACATTTTAATTTATCTAATGATTTCTTCTGATGCAATGGGAGTATATTGTTTAATTTCTACATAATTCTAAGATTTCCAGATTTTCTTATGTTTTTGGTTACTAATTTAATTCCTTTGTGATCAGAGTATACCATTTGTATAAATTCAATTCTTTTAAGTGTATATAGATTTTCATTATGGCCTAATATTTTTGTTCCCTTGTTTTCCCACTATTATATTATTTTTTAAAAGGTATTTTTTGTGTATCATTTTACTTCTCTTTTTTCTTTAACAAGATTTTAAAAAGGTTTTCTTAGTAGATGTCCTAGGAATTAAAATTACCATCATAAAACAATCTACATTGTATCAATTATAACTGATTCAATGGGAAACAAGATGTTTAGTCTAACATGTAGCTCCATCCTCTCCTTCCTCCTTTGTATTATTAACTTCATAGAAATTACATATTTAGACATTATAAACCCATACATACTGCTTGGTAATTATAGTTTTATAGTATTTTCTCTTATATCAAATAGGAGAGGAAAGATATACACATAAATATTTATGTCATTTCTGTTAATTTACTATTGTAGCTGAAACAATTATCACAGGAAGTTCCCAGAGCAAATGCAGCCATGAGGCAGTCAGAGATGGTGATCCAAGCCACCACTCTCCACACACTATCCAGAGGGTTTGCACCAATTTTAAGTCCCACCCACAATCTATGAGTTTACCCTTTCCTACATTCTCTCCAACATTTATTACTTGTATTCTAGATAGTTGCCATTCTGACTGGAGTGAGGTGAAATCTCAGTATAGTTTTAATTTTCATTTCTATAATTGCTAGAAATGTTGAACATTTTTTCATGTATGTGTTGATCATTCATATTTATTCTTTTAAGAAGTGTCTGTTTATTAATTGTCCATTTATTAATTGTGTTATTTGAGTTTTTGGTGTCAAGCTCTTTGAGTTCTTTATATTTTCTGGAAAGTAACGCTTTATCTGAGGTGCAGGAGGCAAAGATTTTCTCCTATTCTGTAGGCTCTCTATTCACACTCTTGATTGTTTTTTGCTGTGAAGAAGATTTTTAGTTTGATACGTTCACATTTATTGATGTTTGGTTGTTGAGGAAGTTGGTTTCTAAGCCATTTGGCTTAGAAAGTTGGTTTCTAAGTATTTGGCCTACATTTTCTTCAAGTAGGTGCAGGGTTTCTGGTCTAATACCTAGGTCGTTGATCTACTTTGAGATGAGTTTTTTTGCAGGGTAAGAGATAGGGATTAAATTTCATTCTGTTACATAGATTTACAGTTTTCCCAGCACCATT